GCCCGAAGGTGGGTCTGGTGGGCCTCCTAGCGGCCACCTGATGCCTGACCCAAACATTAATTAGGTGCCTAAGCAGGCACTGACAGGAGAGAGACAGAGAGAAAGGAGACACCATGGAAATTAGCTTCTCACTCTTGAGTGCTCCAGTGCTCAGTTAAAAAGGCCCACTGGAGCTCCAGTGCTCCAGTGGGCCTTTTTAACTGTCTGCTTGAGAGGAAAATGTTTTTGCTTCATGTTAAACTTGTCTAATAAACAGATAATTTAAAAAAAAAATGCTGCACAGCATCTGTTGATCGGCAAGGCCTGCACTTAGGCGAACCAGCTTCATTCAGGGAAAGAGAAGGTGTGCAGACTGCCAGTCTCCACAGTGGCTGGCACAGGACAAGCCACAAGAGAGTCCTTTGCAAACACAGGCAGGGGCTCAGCCCCTCACCTGACTAGCTGCCCACCACTTCCATGAGAAGTACAAGGGAAGGAGGAAGGTCCAAGACATGTAAGGATGATGGAACGAGCACACAGCAAGCCCAGAGTGCAGCCATAAGCCCTGATCAAAAAACCCAGGACCCCTTGACAGCCAGCTAGGAGCAAACACATTTGAGGGGCTTTGCTCACCCTGACCCTCTTATGAAAAGTGAGCCGGCGATTTGCGAGGGCTTGGCTCACTTTTCAGTAAGGAACGTGGAGTCGCATCCGGGACGCACCAAACCACTTTCCTTTCTGATCTCAGAGGTTCGAAGGGCACAACACAGCTCGATGTTTGGCTTCCCTCCTCCCAAAAGGAGGCAAGGCTCAACTTCCAATTGGCAGATCGTGTAGGAAACAGAGGCAGAAACACGGAATGGCAGGACTGGAAGAGAGACCCCAGGGATCCCCTAGCCCAGTGATGGTGAACCTTTTTGAGCCCAAGCACCCAAATCAGTTCAAATGAAGTTCAAATGGGGGAAAGCCCACTTGTGATGGGGCCGGCCCCACACAAAATGCAGCATGCCACTAGCAGCCCTGCCCTATGCTTGCACACCGACAGCTGATGCACACGCCTCGTGCAAGGGGCTAAGGAGATACCAGGTCACCAGAAGGGCTGGCAGGCACTGACCTGCCCCACCTTCACCGGTTGGAAAAGGAAGCCCTGACACCTGTTCCAAAGGAAGTCTTCTGCTCCAGAATTCCTCTGGTAGTTCTGAGCATCCTGGTCTGCAAAGAGCGACATAGAGAGAGCATTCAACGTCAGAGAGGAGGAGGCTGTGCTACACCTGGGAAAGGGCAGGAGGCTGGTCCTGGGGTGGAAGGAGAGGCACTGCCTGGATTTGAGCCTTGCCCTTCAGGTGCTTATCTCAAGGCAGACGAGCAACTGCTCCCTTGAGGAAATGATCAGCCTGACTGCGCTTTGCTCCCCATGAGTGGAGAATTCAGAGCAATGTTCCTGTTGCTGCCCCCCCATCACCACAGACTCTCCAGGGACCCACAGGCTGGCTGGCTGGCTGGGATCCCCTGGAAAAGCAGCAGGATGGTGCTGTGCTCTATCTATTGCTGCAACAGCACCACTGCTCTCCCCACCCCACCCCGGTTCTAGTCCTCTCAGCCAGGTTCCCTGCAGTATCCCACCTCCCACTGATGGCACAGGCCGACATCCAGGCCAGGCTGCATCAATACTAAATCATTTAGTCGTGTCTGACTCTTCATGACCCCATGGACCAGAGCACGCCATGTTGGTCGCTTCGCAGACACTGTCCAGCCATCTCATCCTCTGTCGTCCCCTTCTCCTCTTGCCTTCACACTTTCCTAACATCAAGGTCTTTTCCAGGGGGGTCTTCTCTTCTCATGAGGTGGCCAAAGTATTGGAGCCTCAGCTTCAGGTTCTGTCCTTCCAGTGAGCAACTCAGTGTTGATTCCCTTCAAAATGGATAGGTTTGTTCTCCTTGCAGTCCAGGGAACTCTCAAGAGTCTCCTCCAGCATCACAATTCAAAAGCATCAATTCTTTGGCCGTCAGCCTTCTTTACGGTCCAGCTCTCACCTCCAGCTCTCCAAATCATTTCGTCGTCGTTTAGTCGTGTCCGACTCTTCGTGACCCCATGGACCAGAGCACGGACCTAAATCATTTAGGAGGGCCTAAAACCAAGCTGGTGGCTACTCACTTACTCAGAGCCGACAAGCAGGATCTAGAGAGGACACCCTGGCAGGAAAGAGACAGAAAGTCGGGAGAAGTGGCTTTGATGGTCACTGTAAGATCTTTCCCAGGCACAGGGAAAATTTGGGTGCTGGGTAAACTCCACCAAAGAGGACAGCCCTCCCCTCACCATTCAACAAGGTGGGCCCAATCCTCCTTCCAACAACACAACCCAGGTCGACACACCAGCATTAGCCATCAAAACAGTAAGGCTTTATACAAGCATATTTTTATAAAACAGACAAGGATGATTATGAACTAGAAGGACTCATCTCAGTCCCCCAATGCCTCCTGCTCCCCTGCGTAACACGGCTTCTTTTTTTAAATAGTTGAATGTCTTAATTTTGTGTTTTAAACTGTGATTTTAAATTGTTTAAACCTCTTATGTTTTTGAAATTGTTGTAACTCACTCTGGGATACGGAGCAGGCTATAAAAATTATAATCATATAAAATTTAAATTCCGCAGGGACTTGAAGGGAAATGCCCACCTTCTGGTGTTCATTCACTCCTAGGGTTGCCATCCATTCAAAATGATCTGAAGACACTTCACCGCCCCCCCTTCTCCCTCGTTCTCCACAACTGCTTTCTTCCCACCCCCATTGATGCCACTTTGGGCCTTCACTGAGGCAGCTGCAGCCCCTACCAGGAGCGTCCTTCTCCCTTCACAGGCTTCTGGCTTCAAATAGCGTAATATTGAATGATGTAAGCCACCTTGGGCTCTTTAAAGGAGAAAGGCAGGGTTATCTTAAATAACTGAATAAACATCTGGACATGAAGCATAATGCCATCTGGGCCAAACACTGGCATTACTTTTAAACTACACGAGGGGGGGGAACAGCTGCAGACCCACCGGCCGCTCTGTTTGGGCCCCAGGGAGTCATCGAGCGAGCGCGCAAGGTGTACCTGTTACATCTCCACCTGGCAAACTCTCCTGCCCTGGACAAGCTCAGGAGGCGACCCCTGGGGGGGGGGGAATCACTCCGAGCAGTGGAACAAGAGCAGCCACAAACATCCGAGAGTGCAGGACTTTTGAGAGGCAAGTTTTAATGAAGTGTGAACCTCACCGTCTATTTTCCAAAACACACAAGACAGCATAAATCTGGACGGTTAATCATTTGTTTATTCGTGTATTTTTTCCCCTACACCACAGATTGAGGGTGCCACACGACTCTGTGCGGTTTACACACAAAAACAATAAGCAACAAACCAATAACTAAACAAACCCCGAGTGTCGACGGAGTGGCCTTCCCAGAGGACGCCCTTGAGGGAAAAAACAAACACGGGAGGGGGGGGCAGGAATATAATTTTTTCGCTCCTTCTGCCTGAAGAGAAAATGGGTTGTCTTGCGCGGGAATGAGTCTCGCCTGACCCCCCTAAAAAAAAAACAACTCCTGCTCGGAGGAGGGTCCCAGCAGACACCCCCCCCACACACACACACACAGACCCAGGGCTG